TTTTTAGTAAAATTTGTTTAATTAAATTTTTTATCTCCACTTTTATAAAAAAATTTTTGTGCACGTGTATTTTTTTACATATCAAGTCATCAATCAATCAAGCACGACATTATTATGTATTTTTTATAATGGTTTAATTGCAATTATGTGCGAGTTTAACATTCTTAAAGCAAGAGGTGTGCGGTATAATTTTATCAAACAATTGAAAGAGTCAAAATAATAATTAAAAACAACCTGTCAATTTTTTTTTTTTTTAGTTTCTTGGAATCTGGTATGTAATCCAGAAAACATCGACGTCGAGCAAGTGCATAACATACAATTACACGAGGGGCGACGAGCCCGGCGAGTACACTATTACACAAGACTCGGACATAACGCTTTTGGGTAAGATTTAACAAAAAAATTTTCTGGTAAATAGTCATGTTTTGAAAATTTCATTCGACAGCTTTTAATTTCTTCAGATATTGATTACAAACTGTTTTCTCAACAAGAACGACAAACCATTCGTTATGAGTTTTTGCAGTGATACTTTTGTCTTGACTGGATAAATCTAGAAACATAAGTAAATGTTTAAATTGTTCCCTACATAATTTTTATAAAGAACAATTTAAAATTCGAAAAAACAAAAAAATTTAAATTGTTTCTTTAAAAAGTTCTTACAGATTTTGAAAAATTTTTATTTCACGTGCGAAATACACATTCAATTTTATTTGTTTACTCCAAAATAATTATTCTAACAATAGTGTTTTTTAATTAGAATTTACCTTTTTTGCATTACAAAGAAGATAACAGCTAAATAAAATTTTTACCAATTATTAATTAAAAATTGCAAAGTTAACTCCACAGTTGTAGTTAATAAGTAAAGTTTCTTTAAATTTTTCTGATAACGTAAAAATCTAATGGTTACTTTTTAACGCTATTATAATGCAAGAATTAAAATACTGTTGTCACTATAATTAAGATTACTTTACCTAAATTTTGATTTTTTAAATTTAGAAAGAAAATAAAAACTGTGCTCCTGGAAAATCCTAATAAGAGGGGCGAGAAACAAAACCCTGCAAATTTAATTAAATTAAACAAACAAAATGAAGTATAAATTGTTAATAAGTTACAATTGAAAATGAACTAATAATCGTTAACTTAGAAACATATATAGTCATTTTAATTAATTATTTGTTACACTGCTATTAATATCCCCTTGATTATCTCTGAAAATATTCCATTACCGATCGAGTAAGTCCAAAGATGACGTATTGGGTAAGATTGTGACTGTTTGTCGACTTTTCAAGGAGACACTACGGTCAGGGCATATCTTTAGCCCTATTATGCACCCAATGTATGGGCATCAGGTCCAGTTCTCTTTCAATCGAGGCGTTTACGACTCGAGTCAAGTGGAACGAATTACACGACTGTATCATCGTCGTTCCCATACGTCACTTGTACTAACAGATCACCGCTATTTTATCGTCGTAGCTGATTTACTTATTTTTGTTGTGCTTTTATTATTATTGATATTAATTTTTTTTATTTCAGGTCTCACGCCACTGAAGCACGAGTACCATTACACGGGAGCTTTGCGCGTCGAGGATCCCAGCGTGTCCGCCCGCATGACTGTGCGCTTCCCTCTTAGTGAGTATAATACATCTGCTTGAATTTCAGTTCATTACAGAGAAAAATTTTTAATTTAAAGAAATAATAATTCGTCTTCTTTGAGTTGAAAAAAAAATATATGTGCCGTTTTGATCAGATACACTTGATCAGTATTTACGTATATAGCGTCTGACGTGCGCCCATGTAAGACGTGAATTGATTCGTCGAAACGATTGTACGATTAACCGAGAGTCACTTTTCAAATGTCCTTTGAAATGTAAGTGGCCTTCATTAGTACATTATACGTGTGGTATGTATGGCACGGTGTGAATAAAGGACACGTGTAATACGAAAATCACTTGGGTTATTGTCGTTGGTATATTGTACGGTTCAAAATCTTCTCGAAGAAATACTTGAAAACTGTACAGTTATGCGTTATTAATAATTGATTGTGATTTTTTAAAAATTAAAATTAAGATGGATGGTAAAAGTAAATTCCGTTCCCTTACTGAAATCATTTGTAGTAATTTAAAAAAAAAAATTTTTTTTTTACAAGATTAATGCATAATGTTATTTTTATTAATTTTTATGTTAAATTGTGTTTGTGTGTTTATTTGAATTAACAGATTATTTTTAATACCAAAGAGAAACTTATGTATAGTGGGCAAACGAATATTAGATGTTTCATCTATTTAATCTAATTATTTCAGACCAAGATTCATTTATTCCAAGTAAAAAAAATTTAATTAATGAT